CTCTTATCATTTTAAATCACACAAGCCAATATGGCCTACAACTCTAGCCTTGCTTTAAAGAATCGTAATTGAAAAATTAATGTCCCAAATTTGGAATTTACCCAACTTTGTGCTGATTAGGTCAACTACGGGCAGATATCATTGGTAGCCATAATTTCTGGATACTAATCATTTGCAATCATGGATATTAGCAACTCTTAAGAGATCTTTGTTATACATGTTTATAGAGAAGCCCATGACTAATGTCTTAGCTAAATAGGGTATTTTTAGAAAAAGAGCTCAAGTTTAATTGGTTAGTACTAGATGATTTGCAATGTTATGTTTTAAGCTCATTTCCTATCAAAGTAGAGGCCCTCTCCTCATTGACTCAACCAAAAAAAAAAAGTGGGGTATTTATTTCCTAGGGTTGACTATTCTTCATGGGTTTGTTTCTTTAATGCCGCTGTAGTTTTCTTGCAATCGTTATTGTTCAATAAATTAGTAATATTGTAAAAAAAAAAAAAAAAATAGTAAGCATTTTGGATTATGTTTGAAAAACGTTTGCTTGTTAATCAAGGGGAAACTTGCATTAGGGTATTTCATGGGCATAGTAGGTAGGCCACTCCCAAAGATTTTTTCTAAAATTTATGGCAAAAATGGAATGGATTATTAAAGGGGGCCACATTTCTACATATAAGTCTGGGGACTCGTAGAAACCATGTCCTTTGCCTAATGGTTGGAAAAAGTTCTTCAATTTTAATTTGGAAGCCATTTGAATTTATTAATAGAACCAATATTAGGGCAGAAAATTAGAATTAATTTGGAGCCAAGATTCCAAATTTCCATCAACTCACTCTGGGTCTGAGAAGAGACAATTGTAATTTGAACACTGTTTATCAGGTCTTTGATGGCTTACAAATGGTGTGTCTCGAATGGCTTCAATAACAAGGGCCGTGAGTGTGAATACGCAAATAAACAGCAATTTAGTGTGACACAATGGAGAAATTTATTAACTAATATCTATTTAGATTTAAGATGTCATCGATTGAAACAAATGGAGAACTTAATTAATAATTTCGAACTATGGCCCAGCAAATAATTCAACTGATTGTATATTATTGAGAATATGATCCTTGATAAAGTGGAATGCAAGATCAGGATATATGTAACCAACTCCAAATAGTATACACAATAATGACAATTGTGTATTAGTGTGACTAGAACATTTGCCATGTAACCCAATGCCAATCAGTGCAAGATTCCAAAACTATAATGTGGTTGAATACATTCTTCTAATTCAACATTGTTTTCTCTTTGATGTTTTCCTGCTTAATCCTCTGGTGTTCAATGACTTCCTTATAGTATTGTGTGCCTATTTACTCCTTTTTATTAATCTATTGGTTTGGATTAGCAGTCGTGTCTAGGGTAGATGGCACAAAAAGCATTTGCCAAAGAGATCGTCTATTGCCTTTTCTTTGACAAAATATTTCAGTCTGTTGCTGAAATCGGTAAATGAATATGGCTTGTTGAATGGGTTTTGGTGACTCAAGAGGGTACTTGATTTAACATCTGTTTTGTACTATGCAGCTAACACATTAGTTTTTTGCATCTCCAAAATCCGACAAGCTCAAAATCTGTGGTTATTCCTAAAATATTACATAGTAGTACGAGTTTTAAAATAAATATGGACAAATCCAGGATTATTAGTACTCTACATTGTGAAGTAAGTGCAACTGCAAGTCTTTTTGTTTGGAGGAGATGTGAAGTAGAGACCCTCCCATGCAAGTATTTAGGTATTCCTTTGGATAACAAGAGATGTCTGGGACGCAATGATCGACAGTTTCCATGTTAAGATGGACTCATAGAAAGCAAGATATCTGTCCTTGAGACGAAGGATAATATACTATTCAGAGCTACATGGTCAATCCTGCAAATTTACTACAAATCCTTGCTTTAGAGCCCTGAAGGTGATCAGTAAGAGACTCGAAGGGATAATGAGGAAATTCCCATGGAATTGTACTAGAAAAAGAAAAAGTTGAACTTAGTTATTTGGATTTTAGTGTGTGCCCCAAAAAAGTGTGGTGGCCCAGGGACTAGAAGGCTAAAAGCAGTGAATAGAGCTCTTCTAACCAAATCGTGGTGGCATATCACCTTTGGATAGAACCTACTAAAGCATGTTCTTCAAGCTAAAGACGGTTTGTATATGGGATTCTTATTGAGAAACTAAATACAAGATCAGCAGCATTTTATGTCCGAAAAGGATAGCTTATTGTAGGCCACCATTTGGCAAAATGTTAGTTGGAGATGAGGAGAAACATATTCATGAAACTGCAAATGGCGGGTGATACCCCTGTAAAAATCTGGTTCCCAAACCATTATCAGAAAGTTACACAGTTCCATATTACTTTACAGGAGACCAAAACAGGGTAAGGGAGAAAAACAAAATTGGGAAATTAGGCTAAGGCTCGTTGAGTTGATGAAATGGTAGTGAATCAACTTATTCCCAGCAATTTCTTTCATGCTGCATGCACAGTTGGCACTATTATTTTGGAAGCTAACCTCATCTAGTGATTTTTCAGTCAAGTGATATTGTATGAATCAAGATCTATTCAAACTATGCAGGCTGCCAATAAAACCTGGTCTGTGATGGCCCCGCAACCACAAAGAATGGAAGCATTTTTAGTTAGCAACTATAAATTGTACTTTATTGAATGAGCATTTAAAGGAAAGGGAAGGTTAATGAGGAAACAACTCGGCTCCTTCTCAAGAACACCTTGGAATTGGATATTACTCTTTGTAAGCTAAATTGGGTAATAATTCAAACCGCATCTCATTAATTCCTACAATGGGATCTCTCATGTTCCTAAAAGCTGGCATTTTCTTATGGCCAGCTGCGAAGGAGTTATGTGAAATATTTGAAAGAAAGAAATGGGAAGGCCTTTGAAGGAGTGGTCAATAATCTGAAGGGATCCAAAGTGATGGCTTCTATAGTAGCGAGGATTTTGATAAAGAGGAATTCATTGGTGTCTCAAAGGAGCATATTGTCAATAATTTTCACCTGATTACTACGCTTAGAGCTAGAAAGACAGTGAAATCCAACATATGACAGCCACCATTGGTGAAACTAAATTTCAATGGAAGCTCAAGAGGCATACTAGACCCGGCTCGTGTTGGTGATATTCTCAAGGACCATTGTCGAAACATGATCTTCGCCTACCCAGGTCCATGAAGCAGAGTTGCAGGCACTTAAGAATGTGGTCAATACCTCTTGCCCTCCTACAACAGAGACATTATACAGGGAAACTCTACTAGTGCAATATTGTGGTGCCTTGGTGCACATAAGATTCCTTGGGGTTTGAATGTACCTAATGTTTGGGCCCATTAGCAAACGAGGAGCTCCAATAGAAGGCTTTCTCCTTATATACCTGTTGAAAGGGGTTTGAATATACCTAATGTTTGGGGCCAAGTTGGTTTTTGTGGAGACCAGTAAAGAAAGAATTTTGATAGGATTATAAGGATGGTAGGTCATTTTGTCAATCCTAGGGCACAATTCCTGTTGATTACTTATGTTTCTACAAAAAGGGTTCGTAAAAGGAAGCTGCAAAGCTTCTCATGTTGAGTGTATAGATGTTGACTTATGTTATTCTACCAATTGTACATTTGTCTCATTGTACACCATTTTGTATTAAAAAATGAAGGCTTGATTTAACATTCGCGGAAAAAGAAAATTTGTTGCTTCACTTTCACTTCATCTTGTGAAATAATTAGTCATTTCGATATTTATTCTCACAATTCCTCTCCTCTCTTGCTCTCTTAACAAATGAATGGAAGGTGGAGATCATCATTGTCGTATCCCTTTCCCAATTAATTGGAGTCAAGTAATAGAACTATTCAAGATGAGATACACAAAAATAGTTGTGTTCAATGTTAGAGACATAGAACTGTCAAACGACCAAAATATTGATAGTTTTTTAAGGCTAGCAATATGAAACCAAAGGTATTTTTGACATTTCATAGTTTCATATTCTCATCCCTGAACAATTATGGGTATATTAGTAATTTAACTTGAGCAACTTACGTAGACCAAATTCAACAAACCATCGTACCGCCCCAGATTTTACGGTTCCTAAACATGAACAAGGGTTATTTGGAAATTTTTTGAAAAAACAATTATGGGCCACCTTTAAAATGAAACTCAACAACATAAACCGTTAGTGTAAAATGATATCTTTTGAGGCCTTTATTGGTTTTATAAGATAATTTGAAACCTTTAATCATATGTTTCCTGTTTTCCAATAAATTCTAGATAATTTGAACTCTTTAATCATAATTTTTCTTTCTCCCTATAAATTGTATATTTTAGTAGATGGGACTTGAATGACTCCAAGCTCGCTTCTGTTATTGCCTTCTCGCAATTATATTCAAACATTGACCTCGAGCCACATTTGGCTGCTTCGAGGTTTGTCATACTTGTAAACTTAAAATTCATTTTTTCTTTCAAACTCATGATCAGGGTGATGATAGACAAAATTTTGAATCCAAATTCCTTTTCCAAGAGGGATTGGTACCCTTTAGTCATAGGAGAGAGAGAGAGAGAGAGAGAATGTAGCCGAAATTTTAGTGAAAATTGAAAAGCTGGCTGCATTAAAAATGAGACTAAAAACAAATTAAATGGAGCAACGTTGCCATTTTCACAAAAGATTGAAAGGACTTTTAGTGGGGCTGGCAACCTGGCCATGATATTTTTTAGGGTTTGAAGCCGGCTTAAAAATTCCCCTTGGGTAGTACTGCAGTATTCGAACTTGACTGTAGAAATGTCAATTCTTGGAAAGTTAGATAAGAGCCCAAACCCTCTATGTGGATGCCTTTGAAAAACATAAATGCTCATCCATATGGGGCCGTCAGGCACAGCCTGCAGTCCGAAGCAGTCAGGCCTCCCTGAACACTTCCTGCAGTCTTAACATTGGGGCTCAGACCATGCCGAGCCACTAGGCCCATTGCCACCCTAATTCTCCCTAAAATAAGCACAAATATCATCTCATATCTGAGGGGAAAAAAAGTAACAAATACAAGAGTTGAAGAACAAGAATGAAGCCATTAACATGATCATTAAGTGGCTATCCATCTGTCTTCAAGGAAAAGAAATGAATCAGAGGTATAATGTACAAAGGAAAAAGTTTATATAAGGATGAGGCCCTAGACAATCAAATTAAGGCGCACCTCAAAAATTCATTAGAAGATGTTGTACTGGTAGCGAACGGTAAAAGTTTGCCAAAAACAATGGTCATTTGGACAAGTATGGAACTGAAGAAAGCGCCCGCAAATCAAACTCCTGACCTGGGAAAAAAAATGATAAAAATAAAATAAGCTTATTAATTTTGAGTATCTTTTTAAGAGCCAGTTGCCATGAGCATTGCAAAAACTTAAGAAACCAAAGGGAAGAGAGAAACCTGGAAAGTAAATGTAATGATAATAGGACAAAACTTAGAAAAGAATATGAAGAAAAAACAAAAGTGAAAGTTATAGAAATTAGAAATTGGGAAAGTAAACCATGAGGTTGGTCATCTCTACAATTCACACAACTACAGACAGTGGAGATGAGCTGTTCTTCTGCTCATGTGCATCATTGCCCTCTTAAGCAGCAGGACATCGACCCTCCATTGCTGAGTAAGTGAATATATATATATATATATATATATATATATATAGATAACGAGAGAGAGAGAGAGACAAGACCAGTTTCAAAAGATCTGTGGGTGCTATAAGAACCTGCACAAGCAGATCAGATTGCAACCAAACAACCTTGGCAGCACATGCAAGCAACCAAGATGCCAAGAAAAGCTCCAGCTATGACTTGTGAAGGAGTATGACCAAGGAGTTCTTTGAGCTTCCTCTGACTAACAGGATGGCCTTGAAATAAGTCCTCAATGATCATATTCAATACCTGCATTTATCAGCATGTCACATGAGCACACTTAAATAACAAAAACACTGAGACATTGGGGCAGATCTAAAAAAATGATTTCTTCTTACGAAGTGTTTTGCGATCATAAGTTTATCTTCATGAGTCCCTCCATCGATTGGGATTACTAATGAATTTCTTTAGAAAGCCTAAACTTGCAAAAAATCTGTTTGGAAAAGGTAACATAGTCCAGATTTGAATATACGAAGGTTTAATTGCTCTAAACCCATGAAATAATCACAAATCACTATAAAATGAGTTACAAATAAAAGAACAATCGAAATTATACCATTTATTGTTATCTCTACCAAACACCTTGACTAACATCTTCTTTCATTTTTCAACGCCACTAAGCATAGAACAACTACTTCTCACACAACAAATAATAATTTCTCAGAGAAAAATAGCTATGGTAAGTTGAGACATTATCACATAACAATTCCCAAGATGGTTGAAGAAACTGCTCTAGGTATTATTTAATCATGCATTCCAGAAATTTCTTCAGAGAAAGTGCACAAATTTTTCTCAATAGCACATCCGTCTTCTTTATTATCATACGATGCAGCGCTAATATCAAACTCAAAACAATTGTTTTTGTTTTTTTTAATTGTTTTATAGTTATCTTGTATACTAGCTAGAAGGTGCAAACCTATTACAATGAACTTTCCATGTGGAATCCTTTAAATATCTCAATAGCTCAAATTGACTGAACAAACATCATCCTCGAGTATGTATGTTTTTTCAAATATATGTCACACCAAATCGAAAATTGATTAATTTTCTCAACATAAGCCACAAAAAATATCAAATTTTATACATCAGCAATTCCTTCAAGAGAGCCCATACGATTTAAAATGAAGAGATTGATAACCATAATAAAACAAGATGCAGAGCAAGAAATCTGGGGAAAGGGGTGTTCACTGGATACACCTCTGATTGGGCCACCCATAGTGGATAGTGAAGACAGTTCAATTGTACAATTCTACATCCCAAAGGTAAGTAATACGTGAGCTCCCACTACCTCATTACTTTCAATTCGAATAGATGCTGTCAATTGGGATTTTTTCTTATCTTCGCAATCGGAATTTAAACTTAAAAGTAGAATTCAAAACTTTTTCTCTTTGGTAACACCCATATGCCTCAACAAGATACAAATCATAGGAACCAAGATGCAAAACAAAAATTGGAATGGTCTTAAGGAAACTGTAATATGAAATTTATAAAAATATCAAATTTTATACAGTAGCAATTCCTTCAAGAAAGCTCACACGATTTGTAATGAAGGGATTTATAACTTAAAAAACAAGATGCCATGCAATAAATCTGGGGAAAGGGGTGTTAAATGGATACACCTCAGATTGGGCTGCCCATAGTGGATAACGAAGACAGTTCAATTGAACAATTCTACATCCCAAAGGTAAGTAATATATGAACTCCCACTAACTCATTACTTTCAATCCAAATGGATCCTGTCAATTAGTGTTTTTTCTTATCATCGTATGTCAATTCAAACTTAAAGTAGACTTCAAAAACATTTTCTCTTCAGTAACACCTGTCTGCCTAAACAAGATACAAATCATAGGAACCAAGATGCAAAACAAAAATTGGGACAGTTTTAGAAAACTATAATATGAAATATCTGTGCTGAATTAGATGGGAAGCATGATATAAATATGGGAAAGGTAATGCTCAATTCAGATTATTCCTTAAGTCGAATCCATCATTTTTGTTCCTAAATACTTTCAAGCTAACAATACCCAAAGTAACCCAGTCTGATGTTTGATGCCAAAGTCTTGGAATTCTTCTTGAATGGCTTCTTTTGAACATTAAAAAAAGATAAATACTAACCACAACCTCATTGCATCGACATCACAATGGACTCAGGAAAGGAAGGCATGACAAAATGGAAACTGACCATTATATGATGCAAGGTCAGAAGTGTGAGATACACAAAACAGTGTGTAATGAGATGGATCAGGAATGGATCCCTAGGATCTGCATTAAATTTATTATTCAACTCCATAAAAACAATTAGGTTTTACATTTCATTATGCCCCATTTTGACCGGAGCACCATGTCACACAAGGAGTGATCAGACACCATAAAACCTCTTCCGTTTACAGCATCATAAAAACTATTAAAATACACCAATTATTGCTCCAGTTTGAACAATATGGCCTTCTTCAGATTCAAACATTTTTCCAAACAATTGATTCATTCAACCCAGTTAGCTGCCTGGGATTAGTTGCCAGTTACTGCTAAACAAAAGCACCAATTAGTGCCCCATGCACTACCTCATTCAATTTCCTTGAAGGCGTTTTTCACATTCATTTGACTAGTAACCCATCCAAAGCAAACTAGACAAGGTTAATGTTGTTTTTGTAGTTCCCATCTTAAGCATAGGGCTCAAAGAGTCACTGTAGCCCACTCCACACTGTAGAGCCTTTAGCTCCTAATTGGGCCTTGACCCATCCTATAATTCAATCCTAGATTATTTTTTTTGGAGGAAATGGTTAACTAATTCAATCCTAGGTTTCATTCTTGTGAAACACTACTACCTCTTCATTTATGGCTTCCACCCATTCTTACGCTCCTTCAAATGACTGAACACTATGATCTTGACAATTACATATGAAAATTGTTATGTGCAGGAGGAGCAAAAGTCGGGGTTTGTTGCTTGCCAAGAGTTTCCTAGTTTGGGTGTAACATAGAGGTGCCTGTCCCATGGATATATAAAACAAGAGAAATAAAAATTAAAAAAAAAAAAGGACTAATCAAAAAAAAATTTGAATAACACTTGTATGAAAAATTAATATAGTAGAAATATCTTTTATCACACTCACGGTTAATTTAACCAAATAAAAATGTCCTGGGTTTAGAACCCAGAACAAACATAGGTATTTAAATCATTTAACTCGAATATCTTAAGTTGGCAAATTACCGATATGCCCTAACTTCCTCAGGGCTCCAAATCTGGAACAAAGGTAGTCTGGGCATTGTCTAACAAAACAATTAAAGAGATACCTAACTGAAATTAATTTAAAAAAGTGACCATCTTTTGGGTAAAATGGTAAATTAGTCTATTTAAGAACCTTATTGCTTTTTGGAGGTGGTGTGACCATTTTATTGATATTTTTCCAATAAAATATATAGTAATAACTCATACTATTTAGTCAAGTCTTCTCATATACAAGATCTCAACCATAATATATTAAAGATATTAAATTGGTATCACATTATCAATAACAAAGAAGGATATAATTTCGGTCAAATCATATACAAGTACTGCCTTTTCCTTCATATGTTTCCTTTCCTTTCTATCTATTAAAAAAAAAGGTAGATCAAGGAAATAAATAATATATATATATATATATATATATATATATATATACACAGAGAGAGAGGAGGAGACTAGTGAGAGAGTATACTACTCTTACGTACTACTCT